CACACACACACACACACACACACACACACACACACACACACACACACACACACACACACAACAACTCTAGGCGCCTCCTTAAGGTCTGCAAAGTCTCTCAATGTCAGTCAGAACAAGGGTGGTACTTCATGTGGTTCCTCTTTTGACATTCTGGCCTTTCCTTTGTTTCTCTACGCTCATCTTTCGGGACTGGTTCATGCTTTATCCAGGAGCCTCTCTCAGATCTCCAGTTTTTTTTCAGACCCTTTTCCTCGCTTTGAGCTCGCTATGGTAGAAATGCAATGGTAAGGCTTGGGGGGGAACTGAGGAGGGAGTGTTCAAGGTCACCGTTCAGGGGCAGGATAGCTTGTTTGGGAGGCTATTTTTGGTGGTCCTCAAGGGCTGAAGAGGCGTTCCTTTTCCCTTTTTTCCATGATTCCATGTATCAACTCTTTTGCACTCATAGGGATGCTGGACCCGATTTCCAGCAAGTGACACTCCTCACCAATAGGCTGGAGTCACCAGTAAGCTAGGTAGGGTTGAGTGCTCCTATCACCACACCTAGCTTTCCTTGCAGGTGTTTGTATCAAAAGTAAAGTAGAAGAGCCTATTGTTGGCTACTCAAGAATTTCTATTTCAAAGACACATTTGCAATCAGACTCGCTTTCTTCTTCACTTCAGATGCATGCAAAGAGATGACAACTCACACAGAACCGTTACAAACTTGCTTCCATCTGGCCATGGCGCCTGATCGCTTCGTCACTGTGTCCACACACTGTTCACACGTACTCGTCTCTGGATCACCCTGAATATCCCACGCACATACACTGTTACATGCTGAAAGCCTACACACGGGCCCCTCACGGGACCCGAGGTTGGAATAGGGCCCCCAGGTCGCGTCACCGCAACCTGAAGGCCCTATGACATTTTTACTTGGGCCTGCATCAGAAAAACGCCATCTTTAGATTATTTTTATAGTCTTTATTTTATTTATTTGCTGCTGTTTTTCTAACGGGTGTACTGTTGTCCGTTTTGTGGCCAGGTACACGCTTTTAGGGCCAGGGCCAGATTCAGGCCCAGAGGCTGAGCTCCTAAAAACGTTTGGACCTTTTTTTTTGTTTTCGAACAGATTTTGACCTGTTCGAACCCAGGCCGACATTGAGGCCGGGTACGTGCGCACAGGACCGGTTTGAAGCCAGGTACCAGGAAGATTAATCCTGGACAGGGCCTAGACGTCCGGTAGGGACCCAGGCAGGCCGTTTTAGGCCAAGGACTGAACCAGTTTTCGAAGCCTGCGATCTGGACCGTGGATCGGAGTTTCGATTTGCACGGTCCAGAACGCAGGCCGTGGGTTTTCAGTCCTGGCCCAGCACTACTTAAGCTGGGCCATTGCCCAGTTCGGACACAGAAGGTACCAGGAGAAATCCAGCGTTATGCTGGTTCAGGAACTTGGCTGCTGCGCTATTTTGGAGACTCCCTGCTGCGCTATTTCGAGACTGCAGCTGCGCTATTTCGAGACTGCAGCTGCGCTGCTCATCGGCCATGAGGCACAGCGCTGGAGGAGTCCAGCGCCGAGGAGGGTAGTGGAGTTAGAGAGAGAGAGAGAGAGAGAGAGAGAGAGAGAGAGAGAGAGAGAGAGAGAGAGAGAGAGAAG